TTTTTTTTTTTTTTTTTTTACGGTAACATAAAAGAAACCGACAAGAAATTTATTCGATTATTTGTCATTTGTAATATTGTTGAAATATGCTTTAAGAGTGGATTACAATGAATAAATTTGTTGTTATTTTTCAGGACATCATTACTGGGAAAAAAAAAAACAAATAGCAGGGATCATCATTTATAAAATCAGATGAAGCAAATATATCACGGAGTGAAAGGAAAATGGATTGTGATTAAAAAAATTGATAGATTGAAAATTTCTTCGGGTAAAGTTTTAGAATGAAATATTGAAAATTATCATTTGCAATATTAGTTAGAAGAAAATATTTGGGATCATCATTTGCAAAATTGGGTGAAAGAAAATACCAGAGATCATAACTTACAAAAATCGGATGAAGAGAGATGCCGCGGTAGAAGATGGATTTTCTTCGGGTAAAATTTTTGGAATAAAATACTGAAGTTAATGCTTGGAAAATTAGACACAAAAAAAATACCGGGAAATTATCGCTTGCAAAATTGTATGGGAGATCATATCGCGGAAGGAGATGGATACGAGGAAAAAAAAAACGAAAATGAATTGGAAGGAAATTAGAAAGAAACAAAAAAAACAACGAGATTCTCTCGAATAACTGTTTCTTTTTTTTTCGAGTTGGAAATTTCTAAATTGAATTTTTTTTTTTGGGTGGAATTTGTTTTCGTTTTTTTAAAATCAAATCTACAAAATAATGATTTATTTTATTGGTGATGAATGAAATTTGAAAATTTAAGGTTTTTTTTTTTCAAATGGAAGATTTTTCTTCATGTTATCTTTTAGCAATAAATTTTACAAGCAAAACTTTTTAAGATATGATTTTTTGAAATTTCTATTTTAAATTATTTGTATCTTTGTCGCTTTTTTTTTTTTTTGGCTGATAAATTGCGGTGAATAACTTGGATGAGCTAATATTTAAATTTTTAAACAACAATAACAATTGTAATAATTTGTTAAATAATTTAACATTTCGTAAATTTAAGCAAATTCTTGCAATCATCAAAATAATTGATGTAAAAAAAAAAATGTCCTTCATACTATTTCATTGTTATAAATAGGTTAAGTAAATTTTTCATATTAAACATATCATCGAAGATTGGAGAATTGTTGAAAAAAAAAAAAGAAAAAAATTTAATTTTCTCATTTTTTTTCCAACTGTGTTAAAGATTTTTTTATGTGTCACCAAATATCAAGTTGAAAATTTTTCAAAAAATTTATTTCATTTCTTTTTTCCCAATTAAATTAATTAATAAAAAATAAAATTTTTACAAAAAAAAAGAATTTGATCTTTTCCCTTTTCTTTCTTTTTTTTATAATAAAACTAGTAATATTATTTATATTATAATGGAATTAACAATATTATTTGTCCATATTTATTTACCTGTATACTGTAATGAAATCAATAATATTATTTACTTATAAAAAAATCAATGATATCACTTACCTATATTAAAACAGAATTATTTATATTATCCACTCAATTACCTTGAATCAAATTATTTTACCTGTATTATAATGAAATCAATAATATAACTTACCTATATTATTCAATGGTGATAAAATATCATCAACAGTAAATCGATGATGCATCAATTGTTTTGTTGTATTGCTACTATTACTACTACTATTACCACTATTGCTATTGGTTGTTGTAATGATATTTGTTATCGTCTGTTGTTTATCACCACTTCGTCTTAACATATCACCGGTTTTATTTGTTTTGACCATAATTGTTTCCACCGTATTCTTCGTACGAAATGAATTTGATTGGGATGAAATATTATTTCCATTATGCAACAATTCTGATGTCATTTTCATAGAAATAAACTGAAAATTTTTAAAATATTAAAAAAAAAGAAATGCACCAAAAATCTGAAATGTGAACATTTTATGGTATTTTATACAATAAATTGAATTTTTATTTTTTAAAAAAAAAATGTTAAAATTAATTTTATTTAATACTGCAATCAATTACTAATTACAAGCAATTAACATTTTGCATTTTCTTTGAAAACCAACAATTAATAAATGATGATTATCATTAATGTATAAGTCAATCAAACGACTATGATAATTCCTGCATGATAACAATGATTACTGCATAGTGATAAAAATGATTATAACAGCATTAATTTTGCAATGATCATGATAATTTCTCATGATAACAAAATGATTGCAAAATGATTTTTTAAAACAAAAATATCAACATAATATATTAGTGTCGTATTGATAGCATAGTAGTGATAGTTTTAATGATAGTGTTAAGAAAAAAGTCAATCAAAGATATTTTTTGGTAATTTCAAGATTATAATAAATATTTCGAATGTTAATAATATTCTGAATATTTCAACAACTAATGATTGATAAATTTGCATTTAAATAATTTTTAAATATTGCTAATAATGATGGTAATATAAATTTTATTAATAACATTAAGATAGTATGCTAATAATGATGGTAATATAAATTACATTAATAATATTACGATGATGATTTAGATAATACTACGATAATGGTTTTAGAAGGAAAAATTGAAATGAAGAAAATGTGTGAAAAAAAAATATTAAAAAAAAGAAAAAGAACAAAAGCAAAAAAAATCTTTGAAATTTTAATTTTTCTTGATACAGAGTAGTTTCATATGATAAATAAACAATAAAAAATATTATCATGAAAAATATTATCAATTAAAAATGCAAAAAGAATAAACCAAAATTTTTTTTAAAAAAATTTGAAAATCATGAAAGATATCAGCGAAATATGTATGTGATGATGATAATGATAATGATGATGATAATGATGATGATGGTGATGATTGATGATGATGATGATGATGATTGATG